ACTTTTGTACTAACATGAACATCACTGAATCATTTATTTTATTGTCAATTAAAAAAAAAAAAAATGAATACAATACGATTCTATAATAGCATAATGGGTAAGCGGGGTAGAACCGTACTACTGACTTCTATGTACTGTAAACTTACAAAATATTAAGAATTTGAGATTGGAATTGTGTAATTATATCGAAAATATTGTTAATTTCAATAATATTTAAGCATTTTTGAAAATTTATACTATGAATTTAAAAAAAAAAATTACATTTTAAAAGTACTTAAGAATTTGGGTAACACTGTATAATGGTTTAATGATCTAAAATAGTAGAAATAAAATCAGTGATATATAATGACTTTGATACCTATTTTTATAACATGAATTATTATTAATAAATTCATCTTTTACAAAATAATTATGTTATCCTTTCATTTATTATATACAAACGTCGCGATCGTGGGTGTTCTCGCGCAACGGGAGAAGGGATATGAAGTACAAATTTATTTTTAGGAATTGTTAGAGTGATTTTCACGCCTAACTGATATTTAGAGTTGATAAATATTTATTGTTTTTAATAATTATCATTCTAGAAAACTTGCATAATGCTTGATATAACTTTTTTATTAACAATAAGCTCACATATGGCATACTCTTTTTTCTCTACAAAAAATATAAGAAATATTGTTCCAAATTATATTATTAAATAATTTGTAATTACTTTTTTTGTAACTTGACACAGTTTTATTTAATATTAAAAAAATGAAGTGTAACAATTTTTAATTATAATACATGAAAAAATAAATAAATAGTGATTATACATATTTTATGATATTAGGAATTTGAATGGGAATTTATTAGGAATGAAGTTAATAACAATAAGCATACGGGCATGGATAAATAAATATCAATCATTTTTTTTTTTTGTATTTCGTCTCTATGTTTAAAAAATCTCATCATATAGTCTGCCTAGTTGAGGTATATAATAGTTAAATAATAAATATTTTCATTAAAATACTGTTAACAATATTAGTTTTTCGAAATTGTTTACCAAATCAATATTTATAAAATATAAATAAAAAAAAAAAAATTGTTAAGTATATATAGCTAATTTTTTGCTCATCGAACAATAATTTAAATTATTTACCTTTAATATAATTGAAGTGGTAATATTGTTATCATAGTATGGTATGCAAAAATATCCAACACATTTTAGTAGAATAAATTGTAACGCATAAGTCTCAAAATCCAGAAAAGTATGAAAAATATGTCAGACCATTTTTAATATAAAATCAATATGAGTATTGTTATGATCCCAAGTATCCGTTTCTTGACGGATACTTATTCACTGTAGGAAAGAAGTAGAATCAAGCTGTCACTTAAATATAATGTTCGATTAATTCATCAAGTGACATTTATACGGTTCTATACATTGAAGTCAATAATATTTTATGAAGTATGACGTTTCATAAATTGTATTACAGTCACAAATATAAGTATGTATTATTGAGTTCTTGAAAATCAAAAATAATATACGTGAGAGGATTGACTCACGGATACATTCTCAGCCCATATAGGTACTTTCGCGTGCTCGCTCCATCTCTCTATTTCTATTCTTCGGTTATCGAGGATCCGTTAAATTATGACGATACGTTTTATTCTAACGCCATTCAGAACGGAGTGAGCGAAATCAAACGAATTTGCTGATATTACGGGTAATAGATGATTTGTACCTCGACATGATAAAAAAAAAAAAAGTAAGCCATACGAGGTTATTATTTAACCGCGAAAAATGGACGAAGGTGGAAGAATGCGTGACGACTACGATCGACGATAATATTATCAGTTATCCTGTCAAAAACTATACGGTGCAGAATTTATTGATAATATGGCAGTTGGTATTTAGGTGGGCGGCGGATGGCAGAGAAGCACGCGCAATTTATTATCGTAAACGTACGTTTTAAACGCGTCCGGGGGAGTTCACTTTTGCAAATTAAAACCCGAATAGGCCATATTTTACAGGCACGTAATCCCCGGGCTTAGCATTGTCTTGCTAAACACGCAGGTCGCGACCGTCTTAAAGAAGGAGAAACGGATCGTACTCACGAAAACAACAACTACTGTTTTTTTTTTTTTTTTTTTTTTCGTGTGCTTCTCCGTCGTCGGCGAGGATCAGCTGCCTCGTAATAAACGATTTAATGTGTACGTGTGGATTCATGGGGTTATACGCGGACGACGATGTTCGGCCGCCGGATTCCGGTAGTCATCAATATCTTATGAAAATAATAATACGGCGGACGACTGTATAAGAACACAAGCGCGGGCTCACATTATATAGCCATCGTATCGCAGCCAGGAAGTGTGTGCGAGTACGACAGATATAAATCACCGAGCGCATGTATAAATATAGTATAGCCGATCAAAGTTTTTTGTCCCCCCCCCCCGTTTCGGTGCAATGGCATGTACGTATATAACGTCGAACAGGTTTATACCGCCGTACCGGCGGAATCTCCGCCACACACTACCGACACTTTGTCGGGCGGAATAATACTATATAATATATTATAATATATATATATATATATATACCCGCGTTGCCCCGTCACTAAAGTTTTGTATAAACACGTAAACATTATGTGCGTGTGTATATCGAGGATTTCAATAATACGGGCACGGTTTAATCTAGACAAATGCATACAACGATGTCGGGATTATCGTTGTACGAACAAAATAAATAGATGGGCTGGCTCCGGACATGTATACGATGCGACCAACGACTATACCGCGGTAATCTTTTCCCCAGATCGTACGCACATAAGAAATACGCGAAAAGTGCGCGAAATGATGGTATCGGGAAAAACAATTTACGAGCAGTAAATAGATAGCGTTAAAGTTGAGGAATGTGCCGGCTCCGCCAAGACGATATTATATAATAATTGTCGTCGTCGTCGTCATGATAGTTATACGCCGCGACGGGCTTTTATCCGACCTTTGGCAGTAGTTAAAGAAGAAAAACCCAGTATAGGTCGAACGGAGAAGTCATTAAATCTACGACAGCTGCAGCAGCGGAGTATACGAAAACTTTTCGATGGATCCTTATTACTATTGTAGACTGTAGCCATAGTACCCTCATAAATTTTGCGGCTCGATTGAAACTCATAAAGCTGCGTGAAGAGTTTTTGTTTAGTTTTTTTTTTTTTTTTTTTAATTACGAGTTTTGGAGATTGATACCGTTGCCTTTCACGTATCTAAAAATTAATTACCAAAGTATTTTACGGGAACACGGGGTCGTACTATTGTACTGACACGTATTTCGTTTATGGTTTAAGGGTATTTACCATAGTCGTTGGGTAATTAATTTACAATAACATTTATTGTACAAAAATTATAGTCTCATGATATATAGATCATTTGTAAATTGTATAATATATTAAAATAGTAACTTCTAACGAGAATTAAGAACTTGGGTTGCATCAAAATAATTAAGGTATGGGAAAACGGGAAAAATATAAATAAAATGTACATTAATTATATGGTCTCGTCGTTTTAAAATTGCAATTACGACACCCACATGTGAGGTGATAAAAGCGATTAAAATACCAACCAGCCAGCCGGCCGACGGTTTAACGACATGGATTTAGGTGTTGAGAAACGCGTACGATGGTATATAATATATATATAATTGGCCGTAAACATATCACTCGCGACGCGCACTTATTAATCGTCATGGCTATGATGGTCGCCACCGTACTGAATCGTAAAAAATGTATAAGCCTTGTGCCAGTAAAAAACGCTTGCACAACGGCTGTAAGTTAAATGAGGTGCATTAACCGTGATGGCGGTACCTTAAGATGCATATATTATGTATCAATATTAAATTATAATGTTATATTTTGGGTAAAAACGTTAAGCTAAAACTTAGTTATTTATCCTTAAATATAAATTATACTATAAAAAACTAATAAATTATATAAAGTTCAATGAACTCGACTTGATGCAGTGGATAGAATTTTACTAGGAACTGATTACGTGTATACGTGGTATACTGGCATATCAACAACGTCATCGGTATAACAGATGTTCTTAAATTACAATACTTTTCGAGTCAAAGCGTTTAATCCTTAATTTCTCTCTTTAAACCTTGTTTAATACTTAACATTTTAAATTGTTTATTTTATATTGAAATAGTGATCACTTTATTATGTGTAAAAAACGTTGATGTCTTGAATGCACGTAGAAAGATTTTAAAACATAACAACCCCGCTGTTATACCTTGTGTAACAATATTTTAGTTAGTAAAAATAACATTAAGTTAGAAAAGGGACTAAGGCCACCCCTTCTTCTCAAAATTTTAGTTGAGAATATCAAGAATATTGTGCTTTATGACGTGGTTATTATTTATTACTTTTTCTGTTTTCAGGTATTTATTTTAGGGTTGTCGTTATGCCCGTCTACCGAGCCTTCAGTAGCGATTGCAAAGCGCACTTCTTACTTATATAATATCCATTAATCTATATATAAATACACGCGTAGAGGATAGATAAAGAATTTGGAGACAGTGTCGTGTCGTTCGTAATAATTATGTCCCTGGTACTGTTATGTACACATCGCATCGTGTGTAATTTGAAAACTTCTATCGTTTTAGTCGCAATTAAGCCAAAAACTTTTCATAAAATGCTCATATTTTTAAATATTAATTATACATAGTTACGTGACAGGCAAGCGAACAGAGAAAGAAAGGCGAAGGGAAGAGTGAAAAAACAACCGTACTACAGATTGAACCTTATGTTTTCGCGTTCATGACTATTACTATACATAATAATGATATTGTAGTTTTGTCAGAACACGCAACAAATCACTAGGTACAATGAACGACAATGAGGTTTAGTGAATGTGTATATTTTTAAAATTCGGTAAAACTGTACCGTATGCGAAAATCGAGATGGTAAAACATCAAGTTTTCTCTAGTAAAATTTAAATTAACATAGATTAAACTCGTAAAATCTTACCTTTACTAACTCCAGAAAACTTATCCCTGAGTAAGTTCAGTTGGTATACTCGACCAAATTCACCGAACATGTCCATAAGATCCTGCTCATTCATCGCCCGAGGTATTTGGCCCACAAACATTTTTATGTAGTCAGTTTCTGGTTGTTCGGTGTCGTTGCTGCCATCGGCCGTAGACGCACATGGGGTAGGGATGGCCATTTCTATATCACTGAAAGTAAAAAAAAAAATATATGTCTCAGTTACATGACATTATTTTATATGTTCTATGGAAGACGAGCGTTTAAGAATTATTATTATACGATGTATTTTATTGAGAGACACAATTGTTATTTCACATTTTTACGCATAACAAATTCTAACCATGTAATTACTTACGGATATACAATAGTACCTACATAATAATGATATGTAACTATCTATGACCTATGTATTTTATTTTTAATCAACTGTTTCATCATCACGACTTCTACAACATTTGCTTCTTTATATACGAGTGTGTATAAAGACATAAGGGTATTTATCTTGAAAACTCTTATTCCAAAACGATCTCTCACTCACCCCCTAGGGAGATTTGTCGGACCGACAGAATAGACATAGCCGCTTCAATCATTTCGAATTTTGCTCTAAAGAGGCTTAAGATCAGATTTCATCCACGGCAGTGGAGAAATTGAGATGATTTTTGCATGGGATGGTTTATAATAAATATAAAATTTATTATTATTGAGGGGCGAGTGGTCAAATCAATTGGCGAGTATTAATATCGAATGTCACCTAATCCGGTAAAATCCTGTTGTCAACATCATATTATTATGTTATTTTAATATTTTTAATGTAGTAAGACTAATTGAATAAAAACGACAGAACGGAACATATTTTTGATGAAAAGTGCATGAAAAGAAAGAAAACCGATCAAGTCAATGCGTATTATTGTTGTCATCATAATTTTGTGACATCATTACTGGTTATTATTTTCGTAGACTTTTGACACGAAACCGAAGTTTCCGTCATCATACTTCTAAGGTTTTCCTTTGTGTTTGGATACACGTTTTATCTTCCAAGAAAAAAAATAATTGCGATCTCGTGAACCGTTGCGTGCAAAAGACAGGGTTAGTATTTATTTTATACTCTTTTTTTTCGATTAAAATAAAATAAAAGAATGTTTTGGGTCGAATCACATACTCATGTACACTATAACAAGACCGAAATTGGTGGGATAGTGTGACGCACATAAAAAACTTATCACAAACTAAAAATAATAACAATAATAAACAATAATGGTGATAAAGCAAACTGTACGAGTATGCTAACTTTTTCGATTGTATGGACGTAATTTATGAGTCTTAAAAGAAATATAACCAATAATCAATGTAATAATATAGATGCCATAAAATTAACCAACTAGTGCGATGTAAATTTACATTGCCAGAACAGTAAACACGTTTAAACAACCCACATAAATAAAAATATGTTGGAGTCTGCAACATGTGTATAATAAGAAAATTGATGTGAGTACAGAGTAGTGAAACAGGAGATTGTAATTCACTTAAGTCAGTAGAATAATATATTGGCGTCAACACAGAAGTCATAACATATCTCAAATTGTCTTGCACGATATTTTACATAGTAAATTGATTGCACTAATCTGTTTAAAAAAAAAAAAAAACTTTACATTTATGTAAGAGTTGGAAATTATGATTATAAATTATACTTATTTTATACAAATAAAACAATTAATATCTAAGTAAATTTTCTTTTTTTTTTTTTTGAAATATACGCGTGTATATTAACGTAAAATACATATAGTTGTTAAAGGAATGAAAAAATGCTCTGCCTTCTAAACACTCGTAGAGTAGAAAGTATTACTTTGAATACACAAACAAAAAACTGGAAAGTTTTTTTTTTTTTTTTAAAGGGTATAACGGACATCATAATAATGTAGACACAAAATACAAACTAACTATACACAGAAACTTAAAACCACAATAGTCCACCGCCTCCGTACCTTCACACGTTAGGGGAGTAAAAAACTCATAATAGTAGTTATCTCCATTCCCTCATTCGTGTCTGTGTGTGTGAACGAGAGTAAGTGTACGTGTGCTATGCGTCGCGCTACATCCTTATCTGCCAGTACACACTCGAGTACCGAAATTGCATATGCATGAACGCCTGGTAATGAGCGGACAAATGAAACGAAATATTATACGCGATGGCTATACCTGCTGCGCTGTATATAATAATAATGATAATAGTAATAATAATAAAAACGTATAATAAAATACACTTCAATAATAATAACAATAATTTTAAGTTTTCTGGAATATAACGTTACGGATTACTTTTTTACTTTTTTTTAGAATTATGTCGAGCAGATAGCGATATAAAATGCTCGCATCACCTTCGCCTGTTTTATCATTTAAATAAAAATCAATTGTACGAGTATTTTAGAAATCTTAAATTATTCCCTAGAATTTTGCCATTGATGTAGTGCCTATGGATATATCGTTGGTATGATCGCACGCGTATAACAGATAAATTATGGTTAAGCGAGTCACAGGCACCCGACGCGCCGACGGTCACGAATTTTGTACTCGTATTTTAGTTTTGAACGAGTGCGTATTTCAAAAAATGTTCCTGCCACGATAAAATTTATCATGTATGTTCCAGTGAAAATTGTTACACTGATTTGTTTGGAATATTTTATAAAAATATGGTAATTTACAAGTTACAACTATAGATACATGCAATATAATGTATAATTATTATTAATATTATCGCAGAATATTTCATTTGATATTAAATTCGTACAAGACGACGTTCTGTTTATTTATTTTTTTTTTTAATATCCGCTGATAATGTTGGCTATGGCCTATGATAATCGTATCGAATATTTTACAAGTGTACTAATACATAATGATGCAAAATATGCGATCACACGCATAATAGATTGCATTATTGTTCATTTGCCGGCAGATTAGTTGTTTGTATGTTAAAAAGTCACTTCTTATAGGTTTGTCAATGAACAAATAACGACATAATATTTTTTGATAAATTTTCTACAACAACAAGATTACCAATTAAATCGAAAGACGTGATGATATGTTAAGTCTCTAAATTCACCAATCGTTTATTATCATTCATAGATAATATTGTCAAATCACTCTTTAAATAATATACCTAATTTATAATAAATAACTATTAAAAATAAGTTATTAATAACTATCAATAACTATAATAAATTATCACTTATACTTTTTTTTTTTTTTTTTTTGTAAGCTTATACTTCTTTATTCACTGTAATTTTTTTATTGGTTAAAAGTAAAATACTTCCTTCTTCTTCATGCATGCATACACGTATAAATTTTCCTTTTATAATAAACTATTAACTCTGTGTTAAATAACCTATTTGAATTTTGTCTTTGATTAATATATGAATAACAAACAAAATGTTGATGTGTTGTATATCACAAATTATTTTGAATGTTGTACTGACAGAGAACAAACATCTTATTCGATTATAACCCACTATGCATGATAATAAGAATTCAAGTAGCGTTTTATAATAATGTGTAATACGATAAGTAGATCTAAATGTTCAATGACCGTCGTTCGGCAGTGCTTAAGATTTTGAACGATAATACCCCAACGAAACTCACCCGTTGCGTATGGTGGAGTCTTACCAACATAGTAAATTAAAACGGTATGGCATTTCAATTAGAATAAATAGTGTATCGATATTTATGTTGTGAATTAATATCGATTACAAAATAGCGTAATTATGAATAAAAACGATGTTAATCATCGGAGAACATCATAATTATAAATGATAGAAAATCGTATTAAAAGGTACATCAATATTATTTAAACGAAGACGGAATGACTATCATCAATTTCATTTGAAAAAGTATAGGTACAGATATGAGATAGGTGAGGTTCTGCAGGGAAATGGATACCGTCCAGAATTGGTACGAGCAGGGAATGACGTCGATAAGAGTTAATCCGACCACGGTGTATAGTATAATATATACCTACGCATTAGCACAGAAATAGGCGCACGCCCGATGCAGTCTCCCGTACGTCATCGTAAACGTATATTTGCTACCGGCAAAAATACCATCTGGTTATGATTTACGAGCAATTTTAATATAATGACGGAAAAAAGAAAACTTTATTATACTTTTTTTTTTTTTATCGAGATTAACGTTTGAACACGTCGTATTAATTGACAAACCCTTTTTTTTTTCATTTACAATCTTTTTTTTACGTATGATAATATTAGTATACTATTATATTTTTCAGACACAAGGATTATACGTATTATCAATATGACATCGCGGGATTAGGTACAAACGAATTTTCATAATTGCTCGACTATTAACATACAAATTAAAATGTAATCCGCTCAGATTTAGAATGACGAATAAGTTTTACGACGACATCGTTTTTAGCGCTTGCTAAAACGAAAATAATTTTTATAAATTGAGGTCGTACACCGATAATTACAGTCGTCGGCGGCGGCGGCGGCGGCGGCAGCGACCACGGTGGGCTCGGTGTTTTCACCCGGCGCGCCGCAAAGTTTTAGATTTATTCAAATTTAAATGATTTACAGTGTATTGTCGGAATTCGAGTTCACGCCAACTGCGCGCGTGTTTTATAATCTACACGGCGGAACGAATAAGTACTTACATTTTTTTGGTCGTTGAAGACGGCAGCAAAAAAATACACTTCAAAATTAAAGCAACTAATCAAAAGCGTATTGTTGTCACGTCGACGAGAGCACTCGGTCTTTCACTTTATGGTTTCGCGTACAGATAATGACATCGAAATTACAATACAGTATTGGATGGCTCGCGAAAGGGTTTTTGGGGTCACTTCATCACTATTGCCGTGATAGTTTTAAAGACGCGCAAAAACAGACAGCGGCGGCGACGCACGATTAAAATACCGACCGACGGGACGACCGTTGTCAGTGGACCGCGGTCGAGGTGCTAAAAATCCTACTGAGATTTCTCATCGTAAATGTCCCGAGTATGGGGATAAGTTATACGATATACGGTCATCACGAAACCCGTGCCAAACATGACAACCGTTTCTTCAGTAGACATTTTGTCTGGATGTCTAATAATATAAAGAGTTTATTTATTATAGATGGATGTGTTTCTTTCTATATATATATGTATACAGGAAAGCGAGGATTAATGATAGAATTCC